TACTGACCATGTCATCATGGATGGCTTTTGATGATAGCCCCTTCTTATGGAGGTACTTAATGACGGCACGCTGCTCGATTTGCTCCAATCGCGGAAATTATGTCCGATTACTTTGTTAATAAATTTATAAAATCACAACTAATTATCGCACACGTTTCGAACTTCACACAATGAACTAGTCTGAACTGAACTAAATAATGTGGGTAGATTTGATTTTTAGAATTGAATGGATCTGTGTTAGGCCAAGTACTTTTCAATCCACCCTCGTATTTACTAGAAATCCATCGTGTTAAAATTAATCAAGATCAGGGCTAATCTAAATTAAAAGTTTTAAAAATAAAATGCTAATAAATTGTGCGAGCAAGACAGTCACCCTACGCGTTGCGGAATAATTTTCATGAGCGAGCCTTTGATGTCCGACATTAATAATAAAAATATTCAATAACATCCGCGCAAAGCATACTCGTAACTGCATGGTGTTGCTAGTTCGTGGAGTTTTTCCTTATATTTTAAAATCATAAGAACGTCTATTCTAATATAATATAAAAGTTAATTAATGTGGTACGCAATGTAAAGAATTATATATATTTTATTGATATTGAAATTAAGTAAATTTAAAGCCAGGCTTTTAGAGACAGCGTCAGAAAATCAATTTATTCCGTGGATGTCGCTAGAGGCGAATATTAAATATGCATAAAGATCATACGATTTCTAATAAATGGCGATACCGTGAATGGCTCAATATATAGCAAACAAAATATAGTGTTGGTTCCTTAGATCTTACCTCGGTTACTTGGATAACTGTGTTAATTTTAGAGCTATTAGCTCATGCAATCAGAACTCTGACCAGTGATGGGATGAGTGCTTTTATTAGATCAAAACCAATCGACGAAGGGCCTCGCTTCCGAAGACGTTAGTTTTGATGATTTGGATAACTTTTGCCCGTCGCATGGTCCAGCACCGGCGACGCATCTTTCACATGTCTGTCTTATCAACTTTAGATGGTAGTTTCTGTGACTACCATGGTTGTCACGGGTAACGGGGAATCAGGGTTCGATTTCGGAGAGGGAGCCTGAGAAACGGGTACCACATCCAAGGAAGGCATCATTTATACGCAAGGCGTAAACTACTTACACCGATGACGGGAAGCACCGTCGATAGTTCCTAACGTCTGGAACTGCGATCGTCAGTCAATCTGCCTGCCAAGCCCAACAATGAAGGCAAATTCTGCCTACAGCAGAAGAAGCCCTTGTCCAGCAGTGAATTTTTTAGGGGCTGATGAAGAAGAAGAAAATTTTCCAACAATGTGCCAACTTGCATGTGTAACTTAAAATATTTCCCAATATCATGTCAGGTGCACTCCGCACTTCAGGTAAGAAGCGACTAGTACATAGGCGAACCCGCCAAGGTGGACTGAGTTGTCGCACGCCACCCGGAGCCCGCAATTTACATGTTGCATCGTCATTTAGCTTATTCTGTTTCTTGTTCATGTCGTAACGTTACACATACCGCGGTAGAAGAAATACGAGCTAAGATAGAAAGAACCGTAGGTAATATATCGTTAGACACATAGCGCTGTGCTATTCCAGCGATCCGTGAGCTATCAAGAATTGGAATCGGTCAACGATGGAAAACGTGAAGGTATAATAACTGCCATAGATGCTCAGTTTAAAACTCTTTTGCTAATTTTTGAGAGGTAATTATAAAAGATCACTATAAGATCTGCAAAATTTTCTCGTCATCATCTCTGTATATAAACGATCGTCACTTAATTCTGTTAAAAACATAAAAAAAACTGAGGGTATTTTTAAACAGTCTAGAACAAAATCAAAAATACTATATTTACTCGTAAATACGCAAATAGGATTCTTAGCAGGAACTTTGGTAATCGTTTCAATGTTCCTTTTCTACCGACTTCAAAAAGGAGACGGCACTCAATTCAACTGTATGTTTTTTTTTCTTTTTTGTGTGTTACCTCATAACTTTTTTTTGGGTGAACCGATTTCGATGATTCTTTTTTTAAGCTTGTGCTTCTCATGCGGTCCCATATAAATGTGATCAAGGTTTGACCAATAGTTTTTAAGTTATTCTTAATAATTTATATTGAAGTCGGTTGTACAAAATTTTCAAATTTAAATTATGTTAATCACAAATTTCGGAGATGTTACATATTCATTTTATAATGGAAAATTAACATAAATGAATGCTGTAATCTTCCGATAATACCGAAACTATTTATTATGTAAGCACAGCGAATTTATTCAATATACATAGTTACTAAAAAGCCATATCAGTATATTTTCCCTAAAAATATTGTTGCGCGCCACTATTAATGTCTTGTACATGGCAACACTAGTTACACTAGCGCCCCCTAGTGTGGAGTAAATGAAAGTATTGCGTGCCACTATTAATGTCTTGTACATGGCAACACTAGTCACACTAGCGCCCTCTAGTGTCGAGTAGCAGAACTAGGAGAGTCGAGATCCTTCCAGAAATTTCGGGACCGATATGTACTCGAACATTCTAGATGTCGCTACAGTAGAAGGTTCTGGAAACTATCTGAGGCCCTATATAAGACCGGTATAGACCACGACCGGGGCAGTATTGAATTGGCGATACAAGAGAATACTTCGAAGCGAAATAACGGCGAACTGTGTTTTATTATTAGTGTGATTTTTGATTGTAATTAGTGTTGTGTAATTAAAGTGTCAATTTTGGTAATTCAGTCGGCAGTTTTTAATTGTCTCGAACCCGAAGCTCGTAACAATATGTGTATTCATTATACAAGCAACACCAAAACCGGTTGGGCGGTGCCAAAAGCAAAAGCGCGGGTAATTATTACATTCCGCGGCTAACAGTGTATTCACCGGCAAAAATATGATTTGTTGTGAGCCACGACATGGATCTACTAAGTAAATATTTAATGATAAAGTGCTTCAAACGACGATCCAATTTTTTTACAGGTCAAATCGGTTCGTCTCTACTGTCATTAGTCACGATCACAAAGTACATTTTAACTGACTTAAAAAAAAAGAAGGAAGAGAGGAGGAGGACTTAAAAACAAGGGAAGAAAGGTTCTCAATTCGCGAATAGTTTTTTTTTTTTTGCTTTTTTTGTATGTATGTATGTACGCAATATACTCGTATCTTCGCCAATTGTGACCCTATTTTAATGATACCTTTTAGGTTGGGAGCTTTATATTTTAATAAAAATAGGGGATAAAGTTTTTAATGTAACTATTTAGACGACATACTAATTGTAACCTTGAGCTCGTGTTATTCCTTAGTCTTCCGTAATAATATTATTTATCTGATAAAAGCTTCTGAAGTCGGTGCTGTTATTCTCCCAAACACTTTGTGTTAGCACCGACTTCTGAAGCTTTCATGTGGAAATTATTTATAATTTTTATTTCTTTGAGGTTGGTTTTTACTTTTTATTAAAAGTTTAACTTCATACGCCATCATACATCAAAACGTAGGACGGAGCACCACCGTTTCCTTTTTTTTTGCGTTTAAGCAAAAATAATACAAATTCTGATTTATATCGTTACAGCACAGAATAAGTAATAGTAGTTACAGCATAGTAAAGTCCACTGCTGAACATAGGCCTGCCCCATAGATTGCCACATAAGGGGTATTTGCCATAGCCATAGCTGCCACGCTTGGCAAGACGACGTTATTAAGACGCTGCTGCGCATCTCCTGATTTGTTTCCCTCTGTCGCCTCTTACAACACCCACGGGACGGTATGGGGTAGTTGATATCTATACACCGCCATTACATGGTATAACCATAATACTGTTTAACAAAATTTAACAGAGATCAACCATTGAAGTAATATGTACTACATAAGTACCTACATTATACTGGTACTTCAACGAGATCAATGGACTCAACTATGCTTTGAAGTATACACAGTCTTGATAAGAAACGCTTTGCTTAAATAATGATATTGCCAGTTGTCATCTTTTTTATTTTGTCTGAGTTTGCCATATCTATTTCTTTTTATAGTTCTCCGTTGTCATACACTCTCCCACCAAATTTTCGGTTCATGCTTCCGCCATTTATTAGATTTGATTAATTAAAGATAATGTTATTCGCAGTAAAGCATACCGCGCCAAAACGCAATCGGTTTGGATTTTGGTACCGCGTATTTAATGACACTTCATTGTGTTGAAGAAGGAAACGTTCAATTATTTTCAATTTATAAAACTTATATAGGTACCTATTTATAATTTATTCTACGAAACCTTAACTCACCTGTATTAGTGGGAAGAAGTCCGCGAGTAAATTGAAGCTGTAGTTATAGTTTAATAATGATTTTAAGTGGATATCATTGAGTTATACTAGAGAAGCTATTGCAAACAAAAATTGCGCACTACTCTGTGTCTTCGCGCATGCGCGGGTGATAATAGAGTCGCGCATGCGCGAATACTTTAATATAAAATAAGATAAAATATAAGAATTGAATATAAAATACTCTTAGTTTAATCTAAACAATCATATTTCTAAATAAAAAGTAATAATAATTATCTTATGGATTTCACAAATCCTCAATTTACGCTTTATATTTATTATATTTAGTTTGGTGTACGGATTGCAGTACAGTTGAGTTGAACATAGTCAATGTTCGGAATGCGAAATCTAGTGCGTAGTACATATATATAGATGGTGGATATTAATTAAAGTAAATTGATGGGCTCTGCTTGGTCCATGGACTTCATGGTCAGCATTCGTATTTATATGACCAGACCAGTAAACTCCCCGGCCCCTGCGCCAACCACAATCCTACACAACGTTTTCTGACACCGGGCCGCCGCTGCTTACGAACGACGTCAAATTATCGACAGATTTCGTGGAGGGGTAGTAGTTAATTAAAACTATATGAAAATTATTTATATTTGAAATATTTGTTATACTACAGTCGCACCAGCTTCGCCTGGATATAATCTATTGATGTGACGTTATTTAGGTTCAAGATAATGAAAGACGTATTTATTTTATAAATTTTTCGTTTCTTCTATAATTTTCTAGATCGCTCGTGACAATGCTCTCTATCTGTTCGCAGTCTTATTCCAAAAAAATGTTTTAGTACTGGGTTAAGTTTAGGAGTAAGAAGTCCAGGTTTGTTACAATATTCTAGTTAATACCAGCACTAAAACGTGTGCTTATTACCTACAAAACGCAGACTACCCGAGGACCAGTTAATACCAACGTTAGTATTATATTAAATATCATTCACAGATAAAAAACAAAAAATGACACTATCATTCGTTCATACAGGTTTCCTTCAATGCAACGTTCGGTTTCATAAAATATTAATATTATTTTCACACTTAATTATGCTTAAATAATTATCCATCAATACAAAAACATATCATACATTGTTATTTGTTTACGTTAAAATCTATTGAACAAGCACGACATATACTTTTGACGCGCTTTTGATTATATCAAGTTGTTTTCAGTTTAACAACTCTAGCGTGAAATGTAGTGAATTACAGAGGTAACGCGAGCGCGGGATTCGAGACGTTCAAAATAGTTTATATTGCAGCCTTATAATAAGTAAATTAAATTATTAATAATTAATTAATTAAAAGTACTTGCTATTACAGTTATATTTATATAATAATGGAACAAAAGAAAAAACGGGGTGAAAATTGGAGTTCTGAAGAAAAAGTTAGTGAAATATCGAAATTTATGTGTCAGTACGTACCAATACTCTTATCCTCCTATTATCCTTATTTCAACTAAAAGGAATGTTCTTATTATTATAGGAAATATTACGTACACTTATTTCACAATCAGCACATATAATAGAGAATAAGTCGACAAAAACATCGGTAAATATTCAAAAAATAAAAGAGTGGAAGAATATAACTAATAAGTAAGTACTTATCGCATTTGTTATGTGTACAAATAGGTACGGTATTGTTTACGTGATTTCGTATTTTTTTTTAGATTTAATGAGATAACAGATAAACGTCGATCAGATGGTGAATTGAAATTATCTTGGAAAAGAATGAAGTTGTGTGCTAAATCAAACTTATACACATATAGGAGGGAACAATCAAAGACCGGGGGTGGCGGAAAACCTCCATCACCTTCTCTTGAGGACTTGGAAATAATGTCCATTGCCCCTCACGACTTTATCGTTGAAGTTAATAATTATGATAGTGATGCAGTGGTAAATAAAATTACTTACATGTCTTACAAATTTAATTAAAATTAAAGAACTTTATTTTCCATTACTTTAGTACCTAGGTAGTGCTCTGAAATCTACTCTTAAAGCATACAATTTACAATCCAAAATTATTTTCCGAATATTCCAAATTTAATATACTTAGTAACAATACATAAATTTCTTTATAATTAATTATATTCAAAATTGAAATGTCACAAATTCATATATAGTGGTCTATATAATATCATAACACACATGTTACTAGATTATCTACACAGTCCGATTATAATTTTCTATTTTTGTCTATTAGGTATTATAATTAATAATTTATTAAATTACCTTTTGTCTTGGATCATAATAATATTTCTACAACATAGAAAATACCTGATTCAATAAAGGGCAAAATAGAGGTGACAGGTGACAGGAAAACATGTTAATAAATGTTTTAATGATTTATTTTAGGATCCAGTGACTGTGGCTACAACATCAAAAGAAGTTGCTGACCCTAAGCCTCGCCTTAATTTTGAAAAAACAGACACAGCTATAGTTAAAAATGTAGAAAATCCAGAACCCAATTTTGTATATGTGCAAGGTAAATAATACTGATTGAATATTTATTAAAAAGCAAAATATATTATTATTATAGTTACAATCATATGCATACAAGTTTGTAAATATTATAAATGTTAATTTTCTAAAACTGTTATATTTATATTAATTTTTAGAGATAGATCCAACTACAGATACAGAAGAAAGAGCCAAAATGGTGAAAATAACCAACAATAAAGATATTATTACTAGGGGTATAACAAAAATTAAAAACAGGAAAAATAGCTTGCAAAATAGGTATGTTGAAAAAATTACATAGTCTGATACATTACATACTTTTTAAAATGTGAAAATTAGTATTTAAACACTGAAAATTGTTTCATGTTTTCAAATATTAAAAGCAAAGTTTAATATGAATTGATTTAAAAATAATTAAAAAAATATTTCTTTAATTGGTGTACAAGGTTAAGTGCACTTTTATTACTCTAGAATACTTTGTAAATGTCTAAAATAACTACAAAACTTACATTAAGTATTCCATTTCATTTTACAGAAGAGAAGATGTACACCAAACAATTGTAAAAAGTAACACAGATTTTAAAAAAAGACAACTGGAAATGATGGAAGAGGAACATAAATACAATATTAAAATAGCTAACCTAAAAATTAGAAAATTAGAGTTACAAATATCTTTATTAGAAAGTCAGAAAAACACAAGTTAAATAGCAGCTTAATGCTGCTGTGTTTTTTATTATGGTGAGTTTATAGAACGAGAATAGAATAGAATGATTTTTATTAAATATAGATTATTACAGAATACTTATTGAAAGACATTTTTTATTTACCACTGGTTCGGAAAATACCTCAGTCCTGGGAAGAACTAGTAAGAAACCCAGCGGGACTTTTTTATAAACATATTTCTCTTAACAATAATTTTATTTGTACAATTTTTAAATGAATTTTAATAGAACCACCATGGTGGCGATCACCTTAATTCCAGTATTTCCAATATTTTCATTTATGTATTCTTTGATATTATAATAACCTTTTTATAAAATTTTTCTTTAATAAAACATTTAAACTTGTTTATTGACAAATTTTGGATAAATTTTTGTACAAATTTTGTATGAGAGAGACCTCTTTTACAGGAAACGAGGCATTCCATCTTACTCCACACGGGTGACAACGCATCTGCATTTTGATTTGTAGTCGAGGATAGATGTGGACGTCTGTGTGTGTGTGTGTGTGTGTGAGTGCGTGCGTGCGTGCGTGCGTGCGTGCGTGCGTGCGTGCGTGCGTGCGTGTGTGGTAGACTGTGTTTATCACCATTATCCTATAAAAAAAAACTAAATATTTGAGACTATATCAGATACATGTTTGTAAATATCCTCATATATGAAACTATTATTTTCAGGTACTTAATTGCTGCAAATATTTGTACATCTTTTATTAATAATTAAAATAAATAATTATAATTAATATGCATTTTATTTACATAACAATGAAATATAATATACAATAGTAAAAAACTATAATAAAAAAAACTAAACCTATTTACTTAGTCATCATACAGTCCTACTCCCCGTGGACCCTTGCACCTCTGGAAAGGAAATCCGGCTGTGAATGTAGAGGAGGGACGATATTTATTAAAAAATCTAAACATATCTCTACAGCACTTAAATCTTTATATAATATAGCTTCATATTGATGTGGAATGTGCTGTACCCCGCATCTTTCCCTGAAACACAATCATTTATAGCCTAAATAAAAGCATTTTCCTCAATAAATGAAATATTATCACAATACTCCCCTGAATTTATTTCATATTGGTGAATATGTAGTCGTTATTCTTTGACAGCTGACAACGGCTCTGCAGAAATATTTTCCTTTATAAATGGGTATTATGTCTGAAATCAAAAAGAAATATTATTATAATTGTCTTATACATTTATTGATCTTTAATGTAATTTTATAGCCAAAATTGGCCTCTGAATAACAAAATAAAATAAATTATATATACATAGCTTTAGACAATAGAAAAAAATTTGACAATTTTATAAATATAATTATAAATTTTAATTATAAATAGTTATATAAATATGTAAAAAAAAATGTTTACCTACTGAAAATGAGTTTCAATAAACTGTCTTCTTCTAATATTTCCCCTTATTGATGGTGCAATATATCTTTGTACTATAGGTTCAGATGAATATTGTTCAATGCTATCTCTCTCACCAGAAAACACATCTTACCACGCCACCTGGTAACAATGTCCATGATTTTCAGGTCAGCATCACAAACCACCTGTAAAATAAGAGCTCATTAGTACTTTATGTTTTTCTGGTTTATTTTAATATATATTTATTACCATAAGATAGTCAAACAAATTATTTTCTATTATGATAAAGTAAAGTTATTAAGAGACAATCACAGCTATTTAAAATATTTGTATATTACCTGTACATTAATTGAAGAAAATCCTTTTCTATTAATATATAACTGACCCCCATCAGCATTCACTTTCTTTACTCGTATGTGAGTACAGTCAATTGCGCCAATTACTGTAGGAAAATTAGCAATACTGCGAAATTTCCTAATGGTTTCCTGCTGTTCATTTAAAGTAGTAGGCATTTTAATAAATTCTCGGGACTTCCGTGACAAAATTTCCGCTACTTTTTTACATGTCCTACTGACTACTGGTTGAGACACACTATGTAAACCAGCTGTATCGTCTTGAATCTACGAATAAAACAATAATATGTATTATTTGGCTTTTTATCTAGCGTAATGTTAGGTACATTGACCCCACCAAGATTATAAACAGCACTTACTTCATGGCGAGCCCAGTTGCGTAATGCACAAACCACTTGAATTTCAGGACTCAATGGGCATCCTCGAGGGTCGTGCACTAAATCCTCACGTAAGATACCCACTATTTTTTCTCCGAAACGTTTTGAGAACCTATACTTATACCTAAAATCTTCGTCACTCAATTCAAACGGATTCACACGATGTCGATGTCTATCAGGTCGCAGAGTGGTCTCCAGCATGTCCAAATCTTCTAAATCCATCAAGTCAATCATGTTAATATCCATTTTTAACGATTTTAATAACACCAAATAAAAACAACGCTCACCTCAAATTAAGAAGTACCGAAATTGAGGTTAGTATAGAGTACCACAAACTATATAGAAATTAGAAAGGTTAGTACCATAGCTAAACTAGGGGTCTCGAAAGATTGACTTTAATACCATAGATAATCCTTGAACCAGAGATATTCTTCGTTTTGTAATAACGTTTTTCTTAGTTTATGGTTTAAATATATTACTAACTCCAGTACTATATTAAGTCCGTGTTTTGGAATAAGGCGGAGAGTGTCATCACAGTCAATTCATCTATTCAATGAACTAGCCCAGACAGACAGACAAAAATTCTAAAAACTATTATATATGTCCGTATAACATGCAAATATGAACTTAATAGAAGCCAGTTATTTCGATATTACAAATAATATAAAATTAAAATTTTGGACAACGGACTTCAATATAAGTTATTAAGAATAACTCAAAAACTATTGGTCTGACCTTGATCAAATTTATGTATATTTATATGGGACCACATGTGAAGCACCAGCTTTCAAATAAAAAAAGAATCATCGAAATCGGTTCACCCAGTGAAAAGTTATGAGGTAACACACATAAAAAAAACATACAGTCGAATTGAGTACCGGCTCCTTTTTGAAGTCCGTAGACAAACTTCAGTTGTCAGGACAAACTTCAGGGTCCGAATCCTAGGTAAGGCCAAAATCAGTTATTGGGTTTTTCTCTCAAGACATTCTCAGTAAGAAGTTATGAGGTAACACACATAAAAAAAAAACATACAGTCGAATTCAGTACCGGCTCTTTTTTGAAGCCGTATCTTCCCGTGGGTGTCGTAAAAGGCGATACGGGGAAACAGGCAGGAGATGGGCAGCAGCATTACAATGCCAGCCGAAATTACAATTAAAAAAAACTGCGGTTGCCGAAGAGAAGTATGAAGAGAGTAACAAAGAGACGGCCCCCAGTCCCCGGCGGACCCGCTATTCCTGGCTACGGTGGCCACCATGGTAACGGCGGAGCAGGGGGTGCTAAGAATCTCCGGTGGAGGTTCGGTTGCCACCTTAGACGACTCGACCTGGCAACGTACAACGCACGCACCCTGAGGACTGACGAGAAGATCGTGGAGCTGGAAGAAGAGATAGACAAGTTACGCTGGCATATTATAGGATTACCGAAGTCCGAAGAGAGGGGGAGAACACGGTAATCCTCGAATCCGGCAACTTGCTCTATCACCGGGAGGGCGACCATCTGTCCCAAGGAGGTGTCAGATTTATCGTCCACAAGTCTCTCGTTAACAACGTTGTAAAGATCGAGAGTGTGTCGACGAGGGTTGCATACCTTATACTCAGAATTACCAAACGGTATTCGCTGAAGGTCATACAGGTTTATGCACCAACCTCGGCACACCCCGATGAGGAGGTGGAGGAAATGTATGAGAATATCTCTAGAGCCATGCATTCCTCCAAAACCCAATATACGGTGTTAATGGGAGACTTCAATGCAAAACTAGGCACAAGAGAGAACGGTGAGCTGCAATTAGGGAAATTTGAAATAGGGCAACGGAACCCAAGGGGCCAGCAGCTGGCCGACTTCATGAAGAAAGAGGGACTCTTTATGATGAACTCTTTCTTCCAGAAGCGGCCCCACAGGAAGTGGACCTGGTCGAGCTCCGACGGCTCGACAAAAAATGAGATTGACTTCATTATGACGACCAGATGACAACTGTTCAGTGATGTCTCCGTGATCGCGAGGGTGAAAACTGGTAGCGATCACCGAATGGTTAGAGGCACACTGAACCTAAACGTTAAGTTGGGGAGGTCTCGTCTAATGAAGTCAACGCTCCGTCCCCCTCGTGCTCTGTTCCAAAGTCCCGAAACCTTTCAGCTCGAGTTACAAAACCGTTTTCAGTGCCTAGAAGACTGCAATGAAGGGGAAGATATGAATGACAAGCTCGTGGAAACTGTCCATGCGGTCGGAGCCAAGTTCTGCAAGACCCGCCGCAGAAGAACACAAAAACTCTCCGATCACACTCTCAATCTCATGGCTGTTAGACGGGAGATGAACACATACATACCCTTCGGCAAGTTGTACAGAAGTCCGAGGAGTACAATTTGCCACTATGCCCAGCGTTTGTGGACTATGAGAAAGCCTTTGATTCCGTCGAAATTTGGGCGGTGCTGCAGTCCCTTCAGCGGTGCCAAGTTGACTGTCGGTATATCGAAGTGCTGAAGTGCTTGTACAGTAGGGCTACGATGGCTATCCGAGTACAGAATCAGAGTACGAAACCTATCCAATTGCAGAGACGTTATATCCCCGAAACTTTTCACCGCTGCATTGGAAGACGTTTTCAAGCTTCTGGACTGGAAAGGATACGGTTTTAACATCAATGGCGAGTACATCACTCACCTTCGATTTGCCGACGATATAGTCCTTATGGCAGACTCGCTGAAGGATCTAAGCACCATGCTCAATGATCTCAATAGTGTCTCCCAACGGATAGGTCTTAAGATGAACATGGACAAAACAAAGATCATGTTCAATGTCCATGTCACACCTATGCCGGTAGTTGTTGGGAGCACTAAGCTCGAAATTGTTGACGATTATCTTTACCTGGGATAAACAGTCCGACTAGGTAAGTCCAACTTTGACCGAGAGGTCAATCTACGGATTCAACTCAGCTGGGCAGCGTTCGGGAAACTACGACACAACTTCTCGTCAGACATTCCTGAAAACCTAAAAACGAAATTGTACAACCAGTGCGTGTTGCCAGTGATAACTTAACGATATGAGACGTGGTTTTTCACTGCTGGCCGTATGAGGAAGTTCAAGGTCGCGCAGCGAGCTATGCAGAGAGCTATGCTCGGAGTTTCTCTGCGAGATAAACTTAGAAATGAGGATATCCGCAGTAGAACCAGAGTGACCGACATAGCCCAACGGATTAGTAAGCTGAAGTGGCAGTGGGCCGGCCGACAACCGATGGGGAAGAAAGGTTCTTGAGTGGCAGCCTCGTACCGGTAGGCGAAGTGTAGGGCGACCCCCTACGAGATGGAGTGACGACCTGGTAAGACATGCAGGAAGTCGATGGATGCAGGTGGCTCAGGACCGTGCTTTGTGGCATTCCTTGGGGGAGGCCTATGTTCAGCAGTGGACTTGTGAAGGGCTGTAGTGTGAGTGTGAAACAAACACCCGATTGTAAATAAATCTTCAATATATATTGTCTGTTTTGGCACCTTAAAATACTGCGTCCATAATAGATTTAATTGCACCTCATCTTGCTATTATTTTTAATACTTGTATCGATTCTGGCGTGTTTCCTGATTTAATGAAGTATCATCATTATCATCATTACAGCCCTTCACAAGTCCACTGCTGAACATAGGCCTCCCCCAAAGAATGCCACAAAGCACGGTCCTGAGCCACCTGCATCCATCGACTTCCTGCAAATCTTACCAGGTCGTCACTCCATCTAGTGGGGGGACGCCCTACACTTCGCCTGCCGGTACGAGGCTGCCACTCGAGAACCTTTCTTCCCCATCGGTTGTCGGTTCTTCGAGCTATATGGCCGGCCCATTGCCACTTCAGCTTACTAATCCGTTGGGCTATGTCGGTCACTCTGGTTCTACTGCGGATATCCTCATTTCTGAGTTTATCACGCAGAGAAACTCCGAGCATAGCCCTCTCCATGATCTTTGTTTTGTCCATGAACATGGACAAAACAAAGATCATGTTTAATGTCCATGTCACACCTATGCCGGTAGTTGTTGGGAACACTAAGCTCGAAGTTGTTGACGAGTATGTTTACCTGGGACAAATAGTCCGACTAGGTAAGTCCAACTTCGACCGAGAGGTCAATCGACGGATTCAACTCGGTTGGGCAGCGTTCGGGAAATTACGGCACATCTTCTCGTCAGGTATACCTCAAAACTTGAAAACGAGACTGTACACCCAGTGCGTGTTGCCAGTGATGACATACGGAACTGAGACGTGGTCCTTCACTGCTGGCCGGATGAGGAAGCTCAAGGTCGCTCAGCGAGCTATGGAGAGGGCTATGCTCGAATGAAGTATAGTAAACCTTTATTTAAATCCGGTAGTACATTGGACCCCGCTAATTAAAGACCTATTTCTGTACTACCAACTCTCAGTAAAATTTTTGAAAAAATTATTTTGGATCAATTTTTTTTTTTAATACAAATAAATTACTTCATAAACACCAATTTGGTTTTACAAGGGGTCGCTCGACGTCTGACGCCGGTGTTGAGCTTATGAAATATATTTTTAATGCCTGGGAGAATTCACAAGATGCCTTAGGTATTTTCTGTGACCTTTCCAAGGCTTTCGATTGTGTTCATTATGAGACATTAATCAGGAAACTATAGCATTACGGTGTCAAAAATATTGTGCTTAGACTTATTATTTCATATTTAAATAACAGAACTCAAAAAGTTGTTATCAATGGTAAAGGGTTCCTCCGGATCAGTAGTATCAATGGGCGTTCCTCAGGTCTCGATTCGTGGCCCATTTCTGTTCATAGTCTATATTAATGACTTACCTTATCTTCTAGGGGACAATCACGATATAGTATTATTTGCTGATGATACCTCTATAATTTTCAAACTCAAACGACAGTTAATTAATTTTGACAATGTAAATAATTCTCTATCGAAATTAGTACATTGGTTTAACGCCAACAATTTGCTCTTAAACGGCAATAAGACAAAATGTATTAAATTTACAATACCTAATGTAAAACATTCGAAAACCAATGTGCTCTTAAGTGGGGAGGAGTTGAGTCTTGTGGATACCACAGTTTCTAGGTATTACTATTGACGCGAAACTTCAATGGGGCCCCCATATATCTAAATTAGCAAGCAGACTTAGTTCTGCAGCATATGTTGTAAGAAAGATTAGAAGTCTCACAGATGTTGAGACAACTAGGTTAGTGTATTTTAGTTACTTTCATAGCGTAATGTCTTATGGAATTTTGCTATGGGGTAATGCGACTGATATTGAAGCTATATTTGTTTTGCAAAAGATAGCCGTACAAACGATTTATAATCGAAATTGTAAAGAGTCCCTCAGACAAAAATTTAAAGAAATAAACATATTAA